ATTGTTAACTAATTTATGTCATTCCACAAATTTTCGTTATTTTTTTTTTGACATTTCTCTTGAGACAACTTTTTGTTTTGGGATCAAAAGTGCCCTGGCGGGAGAATACCCAATAAACGTTTAGGTTTGCGCTCAACTTGAGGTTAAGTTGAGAACTAAGGTATTTCTCAAATCTCCAACGTTATTTCTCAACAGTACCTCAAGTGGAGGATCATAGCGTTCTCAACAAAGGGGGCACTTTTCTTTTTGAAAAAAGGACTGTTTCTTAAGTTGAGAAAATGCTAGTTCCAAGAACCCTAATAATTTTGTTATATTCCCTACAAGAAAAGGACTTTTTTTCTGACCTCTTCACTAACACACTAAAATATAAACCAATATACAGAAAAACATTTGTAAAAATAACCTTAGGAAATACAATAAGTAGACAAGAGACCTTCTAGCACTGCTGGTAAAATCCCCATATGAGAAAGGGACGCATAGTCACATCTACACAAAAGAACTAGTCAGGTTTTTCATATTACCCCCGAATTTCCGATGAGGAAATTGCTGCCTTATTGCATCAGCACTGACCGTCAGGTGACCGGTCATTTGTCAGTAAGATTTCTTGTAGGGTTGGCATCAATATTATTGAAATATTTGATTGAAGCGCGCGCGCCGTTGTGTCAAAATAAATAAATTTGCGGGCAACACCAAACATAACTTGACAATTAAAAAAAAGTGACAGTGAATTTGTTGTGGTTATCATTTTTCTGTTTCTGATCTAAATCGCCATAAAAGAAAGTATAGTTCTTAGTGAAATTAAATACTCTTTTAGCATACATTTTGTTAATTATAGCTTATTGAAGTACTTTTCACTTTAAGCAAGTCAAAAAGCAGACGTTGTGAAGCAAATATTTTGTAAATGAATCTGTCATTTTCAAGGACAAACCAGGACATAAAGAAGCAACACTAGGAGGCAGTGAATATTTTTAAATCTATGAACTTTACCATTTGTCCAAATTTGGCTCTAACATAAGTTTTTGCGGATCACTAATTTGGAGTGGTGGCTGGCGAAATCACACATTTGGATTGAACGCCTTGGCTGACGAAAGAAATAAGTACAAGGGCTCATGAGATATGCGCGGAATTGAAGGCAAAGTTGTGGTGTTGGGTTCCCGAGGTAAACAAATAATGTACTCATGATTCATTTTAATATTACAAGCCCTTATATCAAGATTCGTTTATTTTAATCTAAGCCCCATTCACCTTGGTTAAAAAGAAAACGCGACTCATATGTACGTATGTACATATGTAGTTGTAAAAATGCTGCAACCACATGAAAAAGTTGTATTGCGTTTTAAGGCTATTCAAAATTCTATGCGAGGCACCGTAAATAATGAAACTGGCATGGTTAATCAACAGCAAATGTCGCAGTAAAATGCCTGTCTATATAATTTCTATTTTTATGTAGAAGCAGATAAAATAATCCACTTATATTAAAATACAAAATGGGTTCAACTTTGTATGAGACATACATTTGCATTGTATTCCGCTAGCTTATAAACTTATCAAGCATTCTACCTACTATAGTTGCCCTGTGCCCGGCCTTTGTTTACTTTTTATGTCTATTGGTTATAGAAAACATTCACTTATTTACGTACATACATGTGTGCATATGTAAGTAAGTATGTACATGTGCTACCCATTTGTTTATGCAAATACATATGTATTTACGAACATACATACATTTTTGTATGATAGTTGCATATTTTTGTAGATAAGAATACATAGCATGTACATTCATACATAGTTTCGAAAATTCAAGAAACTATAAAATTTGCAGTTAAGTATAGAATTTACAAAACGCATACATATGTACATATTTGCATTTATAAAAAAAAAAAAAATAAGTTTAGTAAATCCACATGTGCATATTAAAAGTCCCCGCCTGAATTTATTCATTTCACTGTTATCGAATCGGTGGGGAATTCTTTCAGAAAATCCCCAGATTGCAGCAGACTTAAACATTTAGTTGTTATATCTATTTTTACTAAATACAAGTTTCATTAACTGAAAACAAATCTCCTTTTTTACAGGAGTTGGCAAAACGCGTTTGGTCACATCGTATATAAAGAATACATTGCACAAAGATATTGGCCCAACGATAGCTGCATCATTTTTTACATGCAAAGTAATGCTAGACGATGTAAAAATCAAATTGCAAGTAAGTGACAAAATAATAGGGGTATTCTCGGAGTCTTGCACAGCCATTGCACAGTGTACGGTTTGCACGGATTGCACGGGAAAAACCGGTTTGCTATGGGACAGCTTTGCAAACCGTGCAATCCGTACACCGTGCAAGACTGTGAGAATACCCTATCATAAACATTTTAGAGCATCTCTCCAATCGCTTATTTATTTATGTCTTGGAACTGAAATGGTTCATCGTTGATTCATAGGTGTAAGAAAATGCACAACTGCATCTAATCGCACGTCCCACGATTGTTTACACAGGTGTCGTGAATTTTAATGAAGTACGTTTGTATAGTTTTAAAATATAAAACAGCTTATCGCTACAGCTCATTCTTGTTCGAAATATATGGACATTATTTTTTAGTATTTTCCAGAAAAGAGTTAAAAAGTTGATTGTACTAACTTGTCTATAGGCATAGATCTTAATTCAGTTCTTAGGAATTGTCTAGATCCATAAAATTTAGACACATATGTATGTGTTGTAAAAAAAATGGTGGGCGGTTGAATGCCCACAAAAATATGCAATGGTTAAGGACTTTTGGGCGTCAGCAGAGAAAGCTACAGGCTCGTTTAAAACTGTGCTAAGGGCTGTTAAGAGCGTGTCAGACGTGCGGTTGCAAGATGTGACTGCAATAGAGAGATCGCAAATCGATTTCGGAAATATATTTGAACTTGCTCGTGTTGCACTAGTAATCTGCAATTCGCCTTCCCGAAATAAAAAACCTCCTTCGAAAGACTTGTACTTTGCATGCAAGGTGTGAATGCTCATGCAACTGCTTTCTGAAATTGCTCAATTTGAAAGCCCTTTCGAAATAAATTTGCATTGCCATTGTTACTATACTTTACGTCGCTTCATTTTAATTAAATATACATATGAATGTATGAAAGTAAAATTAATGCCTTTTCTTCCTTTTTCGTTTAGATCTGGGATACAGCTGGACAAGAGCGCTTCAAAGCCGTTGCACCAATGTATTATCGTAACGCTAACGCAGCCATTTTGGTTTTCGATTTGTCACAGCATAAAACTTTTCGCGAAATCAAATCTTGGATACAGGAGCTACATCGTAACGTTCAGGAACCTATGGTACTTACACTTGTCGGTAATAAACTTGATTTGCTTGCTCATCGCACAGTTACGCACGATGAGGCCTATCTGTTTGCCTCATCAATCGGTGCCACCTATTTTGAGGCTTC